TATTAACTATAACTTTGTTTTGTCATTTTAATGATTGCTGTGGGATTTATAGTATGTATCTTTATGAGTCTACCTTCAAGTGATATTATACCACTTTCTGTATAACAGTGGTTCTCAACTTGTTTAGTAGGGGTTCTCCCCTGGGGGCACTGTCTATAGATACAGATATTTTTGAAACAACTGAGGGCATCTAGAAGCCATGGATGCTTGAAACAACTGGCATCTAGAAGCCATGGATGCTGCTAAATGTCCTATAATGCACAGGACAACCTAAAAGTGACTTTTCCAGTCCAAAATGTCAGTAAGAGAGAAGCACCTGGCTGGCTCAGTTGGAAGTGTGCAGCTCTTCATCTTGGGATTGTTTGAGCCCCATGTTTGGTGTAGAGATTACTTAAATAAAGTTTAAGAATATGTAATACAAAGGTTGAAAAATCCATATTTCCATCTGATGTCATTTTTCTTATTCTTGAAGGACTTACTTTAACATTTCTTGTGCAGGTCTGCTACTAATGAGTTCTTTTAGCTTTTTAATGTCTGAAGATGTGTTTCGGTTCGTGTTTGAATAATATATTGACTGGTCTAGAATTCCAGGATGGCAAGTTTTTCTTTCAGTGCTTTAAAGATGTTGCTCAATTGTCCTCATGTTTGCATGGAATACAATGAGAAATGTGTTGTAATCCCTATCTTCTTCCTGTGCACATGTGTTTTTTTCCTCTGGCTGTTTTTATAATTTTTCTCTTCTTGACTGGGTTTTAAGCAATTTATGATGTACCTTGGAGTAGTTTTCTTCAGATTTATTCTATGGCTTATTTTCTACTGCTGAGGTAAGCCCCTTCGAGTACTTTATCCAATGCACAAAGGAATTGCTTTTTTTCAGTCTGGTTTGTGGGAAGACACTATTCCTGGTCTTGTTTTTGTGCCTAGAAGTGTTCACATAAATCCTATGAAATGCCCCCCCCCCAAACCTTAGATGTTTCTTCATTCAGTACTTTGCTGAATATCCTGCAGGGACCATTCACAGATCCCCAAAATTCTGTGTAGTTCTCTCTCCTCCAGTACTATCTTGTGAAGCCTACCTGCCTTAGTCTCCTTGGATTCTCAGCTCTCTTCAACTCAACACTTTCACCAGACTTCACCTGGTTCTCTCTCCCTATGTCACTGCCTGTGGACTTTCTTAAGGCAATAAACTAGGGCACATAAGGACTCACCTCACTTGTTTCCATCTATCAGGGATCATTGTTTTTTGTTGCTGAGGTCAATGTCTTAAAAATCATTGTCTCATTGGGTGCCTGGGTGGCTCAGTCAGCTAAGCATCTGACTCTTGATTTCAGCTCAGGTCATGATCTCATGGGATTTAGACCCACATTAGGCTCCTCACTGACAGCGTGGAACCTGCTTTCGATTCTCTCTCTCTCTCTCTCTCTCTCTCTCTCTCTCTCTCTCTGCCTGCCTCTCCCCTGCTCATGCTGGCTCTCTGTCAAAATAAATAAACTTTTAAAAAATTATTGTTTCATATATTTTATCTGGGGTTTTTGTGTCAGGTGAGAATGCAATTCTGGTCCCTATAACTCCAATATGGCCAGAAGAGAGAGTCTCTCCTTTAGTTTTATTCATGTCTAGGTATTTTCTCATTTTCATTAAGTTTTCTTCTTTAACTCATGAATTATTTAGAAACGCTGTGTTTAAGTCCCAAGTGTACATGGTTTTGTTAATTTCTATTCTAATTGCATTATGACCAGTGTAGAAGACATTTTGTTGAACTGTCTGTATTTCCCTGGATTGTCCCCTTGCCCTCCAGCTCACTAGAGGGGCAGGCTAAAAGTCCTCAACTGTCAGTTCTCTTCAGCAACTATCCTCAGCTAAAGAAATATACCTCACTGAAGATCATGGTTCCCATTAGGATGGTGTGATGGAGCTTGTACTCAGTGATTTGTTGATGAAGGGGTACAAGGGCCCAGACCTCTCACCTTAGGTCTGGACCATTCTGAAAGGCCAGCCCAGTCTAAGTCTGAAGGCAATAAGGCAACACAGGTAACTGCATCTGCAACATAGATGACTTCTCCGACTACTAATCTGGTTTTCTCCCCTCTCGCTACTTTCGCCTCTCTCTTCTCCTTCTCTATTGAGTGTTAATCCCAATAACACTCTCCAACAAATTTGCTGCATGTTATTCTTTGTCTATGTATACTTTCTAAAAGGCTCAACCTGTAACAATCACATAACTCATTTTTTAAAAATTTAATTTTTAAATAACTGTTCCGTGCATACTTGGAAAAGCACATATCTAATTTTATATTACTTTCTTGGTTTGGTGTTTCCCAAATTTGAACCCTAAATTACCATGAGGACCGACTCCTGACTTTTTTGTTTGTTTGTTTAATGTTTATTTATTTTTGAGAGAGAGAGATAGAATGTGAGCTGGGGAGGGGCAAAGAGAGAGGGAGACACAGAATCTGAAGCCAGCTCCGAGCTGTCAGCACAGAGCCTGATGCAGGGCTTGAACCCACAAACTGTGAGATTATGACCTGAGCCTAAGTCAGACACTTAACCGACTGAGCCACCCAGGGGCCCCTAGGGAGACTTTTATTTTCCACTTAAAGCCCATGACGAGTCTCACAACTTATGTTTTTCTCTGCTCCTGGTTGATTTTTTTTTTTCATGTTTATTTTTGAGAGAGAGAGAGAGAGAGAGAGAGAGAGAGCATGAGAAGGGTAGGGGCAGACAGAGTGGGAGACACAGAATCTGAAGCAGGTTCCAGGCTCCTGAGCTGTCAGCACAGAGCCTGATGTGGGGCTCAAACTCGTGAACCCCGACACTATGACCTGAGCTAAAGTTGGACACTTAACCCACTGAGCCACCCAGGTGCCCCTCTACTCCTGCATGACTTCTAATGCATGCTTTCACTGAGGGTGTACACTTATAAACATCTGGGCTTCCTATGGAAATCTGTGCCAATTCTCCACCTCTTACAACCCCACAGATTCAAATTGCACCCTTAAACCAGATAAAAATCTACATTCCTTGATGTCACCAAACTGCCTCATAGCACCCAAGGTATCATCACCCACTTATTTTTCTGGCTTCCACCCCCTCTTCATTTTAGGTTCTGTGGATTTATCTCACCTTCTTGAAAGCCCTTTAAAAGGATGTTTAAATTTTACCCAGAATTTCTAGGTTTTGTTTTGTAGCCAAAGGGCTTTATGATTATCTGGTTTGCCATACTGTTCTATTATACTTTATACTTTTTTTTTTTAATTTTTTTTCAACGTTTATTTATTTTTGGGACAGAGAGAGACAGAGCATGAACGGGGGAGGGGCAGAGAGAGAGGGAGACACAGAATCGGAAACAGGCTCCAGGCTCTGAGCCATCAGCCCAGAGCCTGACGCGGGGCTCCAACCCACGGACCGCGAGATCGTGACCTGGCTGAAGTCGGACGCTTAACCGACTGCGCCACCCAGGCGCCCCTACTTTATACTTTTTAAAGACATGAATCTCTGCTCAATTCTGTGGTGAAACAAACACTGCAAATGTGACAGCATTTTATTTCATACTCAGTAAACTGGTTGCTAATTTGTCATGATCATACAAACATTGGTATAGGTCTCAACCATTGTGTAATTTATAGGTTCTTCTGAAGGAAAAATGGACAATCATTATAAAAGTAGTCATGTAAAGAGTCAAGGTTCCTAATGAAAAATGTTTTTCAATTCCCACTGTGAAAGTGTTATTTCCTATAGATTCCTGGACTCTGCTCCAGATTTGGTGGGCCTGGGACACTGATCTGTATGTGTGCTGTTAACTCATGTTAACTCCCGGATTTGGAGTTCACTGGCCTTAGTTTCAGAGACTGGTTACACCTTTTGCATGTCCACAATCCCTGTGGTCAAATTGTACCATGTGCATTTACACGGTCAGTAGGAGTGGGAACTAGTCAGGTCCTGCATCTGTGTTGTCCAGAAAGGAGTCTGCCATCACCTTTTTACCCCCTCATGAGCCTATTTTCTGGAGCAGAAATGGACTTCAAGGAACATAGCTGGTTTTATACACCCATGTGAGGTCTACATAATAGTACAGATTTGAAACACAGATGAGGCCAGAGAAAGGACACTTTATATTGGCTAGAGAGCTCTCATTTCTGTAATATGAGTATGAAAATAATAAGCTTCATGTTGTGTTTAAATCAGACACAAGTCAAATCACTTCATTCCAAAAACAGATGCTTAGAAAAGCAAACTGAACTGTTTTCTTCCCACTCTGAACAAAGGAAACAACACGAAAAAAAAAAAAAACAGTGATATTTAAAACAAGTAAATAACAACAGATTTATTGGAGGAATTATAAGTATGTCCTGCAAAAAGTTTTCTAACATCAGAGGTGATTAAAGACAGTCTAGTTTCTAAAAACAATCTAATAATATGAGCATACTATTTCATTTATATTAAATGGAATTGTTTATATTAAGTGGAAAAATTTTTTAAAAAGGAAGTTTATCACTGAGAATATAGAGCAAACATGAAATTTGGTGTTATGAGATTTAAATGCAACAGAATTGTTCAGTTATTTAAAGCCGTTTTGGGTTTTGATTTTCTTCTCTGTTCCAAGTAAGCCCTGATATAGTATACACCATCAATAAAAAATATCTCTAAGCCTAGGGAGATTCTCTCCTCTGTATGCAGAATTCTTTATCTTTCACATTTCCCTTTAATCAAGGCTATATAAAATGAAACTTTATTTCCATACTTCCTCAACTAAAAGGAGACACATATATTTCTATTCCACACAAGAGCAATTCTACGCAACTGGGATGTCTGTGGCTAAAAATATCACCTCTTCATATTCCTCAGGAATATTCTGGATACTAAACACATGAGTAAGTATGAGTGCACAGGAAGCCAGTAGGTAATAAAAACAGGGATGGGTAATACACAGTAGTCTAATGATGTATATTTCAAAACAGCTGGGTTTTTTTTTTTTTTTTTTTTTTTTTTATGGAGAATAGAGAAGAAATGCAGTAAAGACAGGTAAATGGATTGAGGGAGACAAAAACTAACAATTGAGGGGCTGCAGAGGAAGCACTGCTATTAAGCAACAACTAGGTTTCCATTAGTACCGGAAGCTGGAAAAAACACAAACAGACCCTGAATCTAGAGTGTATCATGAAAGGCCTGAAAGTGTGGTAAAAACTTCATAATTAAACTCTGACTGAAATAAACAGCTGACAGTCTTGAAAAAGTCCCTGGAGGAAGGTGGATTATCAGTTCAGATTATATTGCAGAATATTTATCTGAAAGGTATGGGGACCACTTATCAACATGTACTCCTGCAGCCTAAGACAAGTATCAGCCTAGAAAATGGGTGAGGGTCTATTCTTGTAGCTTGCCTGGGACAAGAAATGTGAAGATCTGTATTCAGATTGCTGGGTTTGAGATGACACAGTATCCTTCCAGAAGGCATTTACTCTTGAAGATCACAAAAGTCTTTTAAGATGAAAAAGAAAGCCTATTGGACGAAAGAATCTCAGGCACTATGATACAGTAATAGGAAAATGTTTTTGGTCAGAGGTTACCTGCTCAGTAACATATAAAAAGCATCAACAACTCTGCTCAGTAATAATTAGTGCTCAAAAAATAACCTCTGACAGGCACACAAGAAGCCAACTGCCTGTTTTCTTAGTTTCGACAGCCAATAGACATTAGTCATGGGGAGTTTCCACATAGGTAATCAGCAGGTGAGGATGGCTGATGTGACAAAAGGCAAAGTATAATAATTACAAACACCTTCTTTAATATTAAAAGGACATGTGCCAAGGGAAAAATGATGGAAGGACCCTTACTGCTATAGTAGTGTAATTCACTGCTCCATGTAGGTTACCCTACTCTTGTGTCCGCCCAGACTCTCAGGGAAGTGCCTACCCAATGGTGATACAACAGTTCTATCCCTGGAATGCAGCAAATCCATTCCAGAGCCTCCAAACCTTGCTTTGAATAACTGTGCAAAGAGGGACAATTACATCACATAATTGCACATAAGCCACTATCCTATCAAAATAGGACAAAACCAAACAATCCATTTTCACACAACTATACCCTTCACAACCTTTTGCTTCTTTTTCTCCAGTAAGAGAAAGGCAGAAATATATAATCATTAAACTAAATTACAAGGTGCAGAGATAAACCATAAATCAAACTCAGAGGAGATAGATAGCATCTTCCTCATGAAACCATGGGCAAATAACTACCCAGATACAATTACCTTTCACTCAGGAGAATCCCAACTGGCCTCCCACTCATGTACAGAACCACCATGGCAGGCAGAGGTACTTTGGTATAATGAAGAAAGTGTGGACTTAACACTCAGATCTGAGTTCAAATCCTCATTCCAATCACTAACTAGCAGTCACCTAACCTCACTGAGGCTCAATTTTCTTGTACAAATGTTATGGGATAACAATACTTCACTATGTGCATAAGACAAGTGGCATTAGGCTTAGGGATTCACTGCATACAAAGAAAGAGGAAGACCACATTTAAGAATGAGCAGATTCTAAGTATTCCCAGATGGATTTTGAGCTAAGGACTTAAAGGTTTATATATTGGTTGAAAATGGGTTAAGGCCTTCTCAAAGGACCAGACATAAAGAAAGGCAGAGGAAGCTAGCAAGCGCCTGTAGTACTGACTGCCTAGCATCCCGCCCTTCTTTTGAGAAAGGTTTTTCTCGGTGATAAAAGGAAGAAAGCAAACAGATCAGAAAACCTCAGTTCCTTTCCTCACTTCCTGACTTTGAAACACAGTTGTGTGAAGAGAAGAGCTTGTAGCTATAGACAACATCTTACTACCAAGAGGCTCCAAAAATGAAAGCCAATGTGCTGAAAATTACGGAGTTAAGACTTAAGTTTAGTGAATTGCTCAATTGCCAAACCAAACTTGGAACTGCTTACCTCTAGCCTTCCCCATAAGTAAACAATCAATGTTCTTAAGGTTTTCGCTACTAGTACTTGATACTGTGTTCATTACACCCAAAAATGTCCTAAATGCTACCTTTGTAAGGGTTTTCCTGAATCACTCTACGTGTTTAGAAACACTGCTCCAATGTCCCATACTTAAGCTATTTTCATTTACTATGTGCTAGCCTTGTCACACAATACGTGCATTATCTCATTAAATCATCACAACTCTGTGAGATAGGTAGTTATTCCCTTTTTACAGATAAGTTGAAGGCTCAGAGCAGTTAAATGACTTGTCCAAAATTGACAAGCTAGTATGTGGCAAATCTGGGATCAGAACATGTCTCTCATTCCAAAGTCCGTGCTTTTAACTACTAAATTGTACATAACGTGAGAAGGCAGTGTCTTTCCCTAGTTTTAGATTATGCTGACTGCATCTTTACAGGTTAGGAACCTGCAATTTGCAATTTCAGTTTCATAAGAGGACATTTTTTTCTGGTTTTGTAGACATATGTTGAAAAAATGAAGCCTCTATTATCTGCAGATCCTTCAACAACTGTGGGAGAGAATATAGTGAATTTTTGCTGTTCTTTTAACCTAACAGTGATTAAGTGGATTATACATCATGTTGACAGCCTGTAAAGTCAGCTTATTCTAAAACTGCAAAAGATCAATAATTAGTGTTTATGACTTAATAAACAGGAAATAGGCTCTAAAAGGAAACGACCTCCTCATGGTTCCACTGCTACCAAGTGCCAGTATTAAGGTGGAATCCCATGAGTTTAGGGTCTATGTTCTACACACCTTCATAATACTGCTGAGTGAAAATGAACATGTACACTCATTGCAATTAAAAAAATACTGTACTTTCCTGAATATAAAAGTAGTACATTCTCATTGTACAAAAGTCTTTAAGAAGCATAGAAAAGTATATGGAAGAAAATAGAATTCGCCTATAATTCTATCACCCAATGGTAATCACTGTTAACATTTTGGTTTGGTATTATTTCATTCTCATTTTTCTCATATACGTAAATTTTTTTTTAATTTGGATCAAACTTGTTTTTTCTTGATCTTCCATTTTATACAAATAATTTCCCCCATGGCATTAAATATTCTTTAAAAATGTTTATAATGGCTGCAAAACCATCATGTGGATAGACCATTATTCATTTAAACCCAGTGTTACTGAAAATCTAGTTCTCTTCCTTCAGTTATATATGATGCTGGCATGAATATCCCTTTGTTAATCTTTGTGTACTTCTGGTAACTTCCCCTGTATGGAGTTTCAGAAATTGAATTAAGGTTGATAATAATGAAAGCCAGTTTTTCCAAAAAGTAGCAGTTAGGCCTACTATCCACAATACATGTCATTTATGAGGTTTCCTTCTCCTCGTTATGTTTTCTCTGGTGTTGAATAAGCTGTGAGCTATAACGGTAGGCTTTCCCACATTCACAACATTTATAGGGTTTCTCCTTAGTGTGGGTTCTCAAATGTAGAATAACTTGAGAAGTCTGTCTGAAGGTTTTTCCACATTCATTACATTCATAGGGTTTCTCGCCAGTGTGAACTCTCTGATGATCAATAAGGTTTCGATTAGAAGTAAAAGCTTTCCCACATTCATTACACTTGTAAGGTTTCTCTCTACGGTGAAGTCTCTGATGTTCAGTAAGGGTCTTCCTTAAAATGAAAGCTTTTCCACATTCATCACATTCGTAAGGCTTCTCTCCTGTGTGAATTCTTTGATGGTCCATAATCTTTGTATTAGAGACACATATTTTCCCACACTCCTTACACTTGTAAACTTTTTTTCCTTTGTGCATTCTCTGATGTTGAGTAAGGTTTGAACTACGGCTAAAGGCTTTCCCACACTCGATACAAGTGTAGGGCTTCTCCCCAGTATGAACTCTGTGATGTGAAATAAGACCTGAACTCCGACTAAAGGCTTTCCCACACTCCTTACATTCATAAGTTTTCTCCCCACTATGGATTCCCTGGTGCCGAATGAGGTGTGACTTACCACTGAAAGATTTCCCACATTCACTGCATGTGTAGGGCTTCAGTCCAGTGTGGATTCTCCGATGAACCACAAGGTTGGAGCTATGACTGAAGGCTTTTCCACACTCTTTACACTTATAGGGTTTCTCCCCTGTGTGGATTCTCTCATGTACTGTAAGGTTTGCACTCTGACTAAAGGCTTTCCCACACTCAGTACATACATACTGTCTCTTTCCAGCATGAATTTTCATGTTTGTTGCAGTATCCAAGCACTGACTACCATCTTTTTCAGATTCTTGCTCACTCACTTCTGTAAGTGTTTTATTGTCTTTAACTGTCTTATGTCTGAAGTTTCTGGTCTTTCTCCTCATTTTCTCTTGCCTGAAGCATCACATTGGCCTCTTCAGTCTTCTCTTTCCTTTCAGAGGAGCTTTCTAAATTTTGACTTCCCTGGCAACACCTCTGTGGAGTTCTCTTCAAAGTGTGAGATTCTGACTTTTCAGGAATGATACTTTGGAATCAACACCTCCTCAGTCCCAGTTTCACCATCTGACAGAAGAAAGAGAAATTGCACATATCACCCATTCTCTACACTAGAGGAAGGAGAATTATCCAAAGATAACAAGATGTGGTAGATCACAGGGCCTTACAAGGAAGAGGAAGTGTTCAAAGTCAGAGAGAACTGATTACAAATAAGATGAGAAAAATAAGGGCAGACCCAGAGGCCGAGGTAAAGGCTTAAGGAAAGACAGGACAGGAACCCAACAGGTCCAGGATCAGGATCAGCAATGAGTAATATAAAATCCACCCTGGTTTCCTCCTATCTTATACTCTACTCCCAGAATTGGAGTCATCTAACTAACTCCTCATCTGGTCCCTAGACAAAATGAACTGAAAGATCCTTAGTTCACCAGCTCTTCAAAATAGTTTGGTTTTCAGTTCTTGCTGACTGATTCCCCTAATACCAATGATATAGTGACTGGCACAAAACAGATGCTCAAGAATTGTTTCAATGATCAGCAACTGAGATTGTCTTGGGGTATGACTAAGATTTCATCTTTTGCTCTAAGTCCAGGTATGAGGCCCCTATACACATCTCTGTTCTTAAGACCTGTCTTAATAAGGGGTAACACAGTTCTTCCAATACAGAGCCTACTGGAGCCTAGTCACACCATAGCCTACTTTGTAGGGATTGCTCTGTAGCTGAATCTAGCCACATGTGCTCATTCCGCTTCTCATCAAGCTACCACTCTGACAAGCTATCACTAAATCTACAGTGTGAAACTCAGAGGCTGAGGGGGGGAACAGGATTAGCTAAAATATGGCACGGGAAACTCTGATAAGACCTTGCATGATACAATGGTAAAGTATCTAATAGTGGCAAAAGGGTGAAAATAGGAGACGGCACAACCAAAAGGGGCCAATACATGAAACCCATGTCAGGAATGAGCAGGAACTTCCCAAAGAATTTAACATGAAACTTGGGACATACAGGTAACCCTTGCATATCTCAAATATGGAGAAGATTGGGTCATAAAAGGAAAACAGAAAGATGACTGCATGATACGAACACATAATTAATGTTCCTTTTACTATGATCCTTTCCAGACTTGTCCATATTTATAGTTATATAATCACAAATATATGGTAGATATAATTTTGTATCCTACTTCTCCAAGTTTTCATATGTAATCTTCCACATTGCTATTTAATCATAAGATCATTTTATGACTATATAATACACTGCCAACTGAATTCATTATCATTTACCTACAATTTTGCTAGTGTCAGACATTTCTGTTGCTCCCTGAGGTTTAACCACTGTCAATAATGCTATCATGATCACTTTTTATTAAGTCTATTAATTTATTTTTGAGAGAGAAAAAGAAAGCATGGGGAAGGGGCAGAGAGTAAGGGAGAGAGAGAATCTGAAGCAGGTCCCACGCTGTCAGCACAAAGCCCAACTTGGGGCTCAATCCCACAAATCATGAGATCACGACCTGAGCAGAAACCAAGAGTCGGACCCTTAACCGACTAAGCCACCCAGGAGCCCCTATCATGATCACTTAAACAAAGTTTTCTTCCTACTGAAATATATTCCTAGGATAAAAGCTCTACAAGTGAGTTATTGAGTCAGAAGAAATGAAATTGTTTTGTAGTACTGCCTTTGCCTTTCATAAAAGTTTGACCACTTTCCATTGTCTCATAGCTTTGTGATAAACTGAGTCACACTCTCTGAAGGAGAAGCATGTCCAATGGTGAGTGCTCAAGACCAGCGAGGAAGGAAGAGAACCTCCAACTGAGGTTAGAGTTCATATCTCAGGAACATAGGTGCCACTGATGCCATACAGGGACACATACATACGAACTTGTGCCGATGATATAAGGGGGAGGCAGAGAAAATGATGGTAAGGGGCGGACTCTTGTCAGGATCCTGAAGCACATTCACATCCAGCTGCCGCTACCCCTCCTAATCAAACAGGAAGAAAATCAGTAAGAAGCTAGGGGCCTGCAAAGCAGAGTCAGACAGTAAGTGAAGCCACTTCCAAAATTCTCTCTGAGAAAGTTGATGGTTCTTTTTGAGTTGTTTTTTCATTTGTAATCTTCTCTGAAACTTTTCTTCATACACGCTTTAAAGTAGTAATTACTGAGCATTCTACTTTGTACAAATCTCTGTTTTGGATCTAACAGGGAAACTTTTTAAAAGCATTACTGCAGAAAAGGAGAAAAATACAAACTAAAAGTAGAAAATACACACTCTCGGTAGTATGAATGAATGGATGGATGAAAAAGTGGGTAAGTTTATATATTTACTGTTATTGAGGGCTCTAATCTTGCTAAGCAAACTGTGTTCTGGTAACTTGTATTTTTTAATTCTTTTTGTAAGTATTACTTAGGAAAAGTTGGGAAATGACTTTAGAGGAATGGATTCCCATAACTACTAGAACAACGGATTTTAGAGATTCAGAATGAGACAATGCCTTGAAGCCAGTATGTCTCATTTCTAGGCATGACTGATCTGAAGCTTCCCAGTTAGCTAGTGACAGAACTATTCTATTCCTCAAGGCTGCTATAGAAAAGATCTTGTTGTGGATTTCAAGAAAGAGGTATCCATGGAAAATGTTAATAGCCAGGTATTTACATGGCTAATCCCCAATATGACTGTATTAGAAGATGTGACCTCTAAGGAGGTAATTAAGGTTAAATGAGATCATAAGAGTGGAACCTTGATCTGACAGGATTAGTGTGTCCTTTCAATAAGACATGAGAGAGAGCTCACTTTTGTTTCCACTCCTGCCTCCCCTCCCCCCAACAAACTGAGGACAGCCATATGAGCACACAGTAAGAAGGTGGCCATCTATAAGCCAGAAAGAGAGTCCTAAGTCCTTACCAGAAACTGAATCAGGTGATCACCTTAATCTTAGGCTTCCAGGCTCCAGAACTGTGAGAAAAGGAATGTCTGTTGTTTATTCTTCTTTTTTCAACGTTTTTATTTATTTTTGGGACAGAGAGAGACAGAGCATGAACGGGGGAGGGGCAGAGAGAGAGGGAGACACAGAATGGGAAACAGGCTCCAGGCTCCGAGCCATCAGCCCAGAGCCTGACGCGGGGCTCGAACTCACGGACCGCGAGATCGTGACCTGGCTGAAGTCGGACGCCCAACCGACTGCGCCACCCAGGCGCCCCCGAATGTCTGTTGTTTAAATTACCCAGTCTATGGAATTTTGTTACAGCGGCTTGGGCACACTAATATAAGCATAAAGTATCACACCTACCTTTAAGGAGCTTACAATAGAATAAATGGCAAAAAACTAAGAGACCAAATTAAAATTTATGAAGTACCCAATTAGGAAGTGAAGGGGGCTAGGGAAGGGAGTGATTACTGGGGCCAGGAATGCTCGGAGAAAGGTGCCTTAAAACGGCAAACCTTTGGCTGAGCCCCAAAAGAGGAAGGAATTGTTTCCTCAGAAGGAAATGGGAAATGACTTGCACAGGGCCAGTGTACTTAGAAATAAGTGGGAGATTACACTATCACATAGCTTCAAGATGTGTGGGGGGCCGGGCCCCGGTGCCAGGCTGAGACCGGGTCGAGCAATGTTCCCCGTTGACTCAAGCCAACCCGGTGGTTCCCCCTCCCATTCCCCCACTTTCAAGGGCATACGAAAGCCTTGTCAAGGCCAAGAAAGTTAATTCCTGAAGCCTGTGGTCTGCAGGTGTTGGCAGTAATGCAACCTCCCTTTTTCTATCCCAAGTCAGATAGAAACAAACATGGGAATTGTGTTTTGCTAGCAATCTTATCAACAAGGTCTTGTGACCCGTCTAGAAAATGCACAAGAAACACAGAACTAAATGTTTTGGTTGGCAGCGATTATGTGAAACCTGTTTATTCTTAGAATGACCTGACCCATAAGAGTCTGGTTATAAAAGATTGTGTACAGCAGCAATAAAGCCGTCACTTGGGCCATCAGCCCAGGGGACCCTCCTGTTCCCAAACTTTCTCTTCTCTCTTTTTTTCTTGCATTCCCCTACCCTCAGGCCCCTGACCTCGGTGTTTGTCCCGCCGGTCGCGACAATGATGGTGAGAATTCTGTCCATTTTGTTCACCTTTGTCTTCCCAGCATCTAGCACAGTTCCAGGCATATAGTAGGCACTAAAAAATTTTTTTTTCATGAACAAATAAAGGAATGAAAAAATTACGTTGCCTGAAGTCATATGAGCCTGAACACTGAAATTATGGGGCATATATGGATATAATTTAATATATATTATATATTTGATATATAATTTGAAATGAGTACCAACCATTCTCATTTTCTTTCCCGATTCTATATTCTTTTTCTACCTTGCTGTTCTCTCTCACTCTCACTTGTCAAGAATACAGTTTTTCAAGCATTATCATTCATTGTCCCTCGTCCCCATACTTCCCTCCACATCCCAGCACATTAATATTTCTCTCAGCATCATGAAGTAGAAAACTGGAGAGAGGCAGCTGGGTATCCTATGAGTCGTATTTGAGGGATATAAAAAGAAATAATCCAAGAGACGCTACCTAGGAGTAGGGTGCTCATATATCCTGGTTGTCCCAGAACAGTGCTGGTTTATACTTGCTATTCCAGCATCATTAACAGCAGCCCCCTTAACTAACAAAAGTATACCAAGTTTGAACAATAAGTTTTCTATCATCCTACATAAAAGTGAAATTGGGAATAGAATGTTTTAGGGTATAATATTGTATGTCAACTACACTTCAAATAAAAATCTTTAAAAAAAAAATGCTTTAGGAAGATTAGCCTGGATGGGTTAGAGGTGAAAAAAAGGAATGGAGGAAGGGAAATGAGTTGAGAGACAACTTTAGGAATGCAGTATGGGT